GATAGTGTTGGGTTGACGGTTGGACTTGAACATCTTGGAGGTCTTTTCCAACCTTAATGATTCTATGATTCTATGATTCTATGATTCTCTGACTAAATTTGCACTAGCTGGCTCCCCACCAGATACTGTCTTTACAGTAAATGCAAGACTGTGAATAGCTTTACCTTTGAGGAGGAAATTTCTAACATGAGTTCAGCATTGGAGCTAATTCATCCCCTTCTTGCTCTGTTAGCTTATAATTGCATCTGAATTTGTAGACATGTCTGTGCTGTTGGGGCTGTAAACTAATTACCTTTACTCCATTGTAATTATGTAGTCAGCCAAAAAGTAATGTCTTGTTAGCAAGTTTCTGTTATCCATAATACATCTGGTTTCAAGTTTTGCCTGATCACCTTCAGTCATCTTGTTGCCCAAATTACTACTGTAGCTGCTTGTTACTGGTCACTCACAATTTCCCATCCACTTTAGAATCGGTCATTTCACTAAATCTGTCTCAAGACTGTGTTTTTGATCTACCTCAGGGCATAGCTTATACTTCTCTTTGATGTTAGTGTTAATGTAAACTGTTCTCCCTCCCCACACTGCTGTGCTGGCATAACTGTGTGAGGTGTACTTAAGTCAACTGCCCATTCAAGCACAACATTTATATTGTGTGGGTTTGTATTCTTCCATTTTGTTCTGTAGTTTAATTCACTCTCATTGTCTCGGTTCACACTGTTGCCTTTTCTCCTTATTCCTTTTTACTTTTTTTTATGAGGAAGTGAAAAAAACCCAACCCAACACCAGAACACCACTCATCCAGTCATCCCTGTAAACTTATGCAGACTCTTGTTTTGACTGTGTGTCACCAGGGTTAGGCATTAGCAATACAACTTTACAAACATTTTGTTTAGGTCCATCTATTCCACAGTATCACAATAAACTTGATCTTACTTTACGGAAATCTGCAGCTGAAAGGAGCCGTCCTGCTCCTTTTCTCCCTTCCAAACCCTAAGAGCATTTGTGCATGGTTACATGGTTGCATGTGATGTATCAGATCATTTTGTAAAAGATAACCCCTTTTTGCTCCTTGAAAAAAACCATTTTCCATCAAACTAGCAAGCAAATTTATGTTGCCATGATCTCACTCATGGAGTTGGTAGATCTGGTTCAAGAAAGAAAACGTGAACGTGTAGCTGATAGTTGGGGAGGGAAGAACTATGCATTTGGCAGCCGCTCACTTTTAGGCTGGATTAAGCATTTTGCAAGATTACTGTTTTAACAGGGGGGTTTTGTATACTTTTCAAAAAATTCTTCAAAGGAGAAAAAGAGTGAAGCTCTCCATAGCCTGTCATTTCGTTCATTTAGCATATATATTTAAGAAGGATGCAAAGGAGATTCTTATCTGCGCTTCCTTAAATATTGCTGTAATATTTAAATTTAATGCATGTATTTGTGGAGCTTTGACTGTACTTTGAACACTGTAAAATATTTATAGCGTAGATTGAGATAAAGTGTCTTATTATATTTCTAAGTTTTTAAGTTAGCATTTCTTTTAATACTTTGCTCCTCGCAAGTCACTACTGTCACAAAATGGAACAAAGTGGAAAAGAAATGGAAGTAAAACCAACTGGAAAGAAATTATCAAAAGAGGAAAAAAATATGCATTAAGACTTTCTGTGTTTTGAGAATTATGTTATCTTATAAATTAGTAATCTGTGGGGAAAAAACATTAAAATTTATGCTCAACATGTGAAAAATTGTTCAAAAAGGAAGTTATTTTAAATATACTGCAGTGGTATATACTGTTCTTCAGATCTTGTCCTCTAACTCAAAAAAGTAAGTGAAAGTAGGAGATACGGTATAAAGGAGTATGTCTGTACTTTTTCATTTCTTAGAATAATTTATTTGCTGTCTTTCCAGCTACTGCCTTAGGACTGAATTTATATCATTTACAGCATCATAAGTCTCTAGCTGGTATTGTATAAATGAAAAGTTAGAATACTAACCAGTATTAGATGTGGTTTCTGATCTTCTGTAAGCACTTGCATTTTCTCTGTGCAGGTAGTTTCATTGCAACCAGTTAACACACTTGCATGAGTGTGTGTGTCCACACACAGGTATCTACACATTTTTCTATTGGCTTATAGAATTTAAGGGCCATAGAAACGAGTCCAGTCTAAAGTGACTGAACACTGATAAGTTTCCCTTCCAGCCCCTGATCTAACCACTCGTGGTGCTTGGACATTTCTGGAATGTAAGGTGGCTAGTATATCTTGCACAGTAGGCTAACATTAAACAAGTTACTATGTAAAACTGCATCAAGTTTTGCTACTTTTGGATAGATACTGTAAGTACAATTTAAAATCAACAGCAACACTTGACTTGAAAAAAGTATAGCCTGGTTTTAACTTGCTTTCAGAATGTCTCTTTTCTGGTATGAGTTGAATTATTTGTGGGTTTCTGCCTTGTTAGTGCATTTTCAATTAATACAATTTTAAACCCAAATGTCTGAAATTCTTTTGAAATTTTGTCAGGTAAATATTGGAAAAATGGATTCTCCCATTGAGAAATGGAACCTAATAATTGGCAATTTGGCCTTAAAACAGGTAAATATAATGGACTTACTTGATTAACTCCTCTAAGTGAGCAAAATTATTGAAAAACTCCATCACAAACTTTGGTAAGTATGGAGATGGACAGTGTTAATGAGAAACTAGCTCTACTTACACTGGCTCATACTTAACATATAATGTTTGCATGACTGATTTTTTTTGAACAGTGTAGTTCTTCCCTAGTTATTCCCTAAAGAATATAAATATATAAAACGATATGAGCTTATATTTATCAGAAGAAGAGGTAAAGTATTCTTTGTGACTTTACCAAGGGTATTTCCTTTTTAATTTTTCTGAGAAAGGATCTGAGGATGATTAGAGAAAAATTTCAGGTTTGGCAAAACCGTTTAAATTTGACCTCTCAAATATTTTCAGTACTGTGTTTGCATTAGATTAAATCTTTAAAGAAAGCACGTGATGGAGCTTTTGGACAAGAAACGATATTTTAAATAGCTGGGTCATTTGAGGAATGTTTGTTCTCCAAAGCAACTATTTCTTAAGATTAAGAACTATTTCATGTTCATATGTTATAATACAACATGCTCAAAAAATATGTGAAATGTTTATACTGTGACTTCACTGTTTTAAGTGGCCTTGGGAGCCTCTTTAGGCATTTCAGCTTTGGCTCCTGGTAAATCCTCAGCTCTTTTCCCTGATTTTACTTTTGTTATTCTTGAGTCTCTGAAATGCTGGTAAAGCCTTTTCTGCTGGCATAAGATTTTTCTTCTTGATAATCCAAGGTTATCATCCTTTCTACAAAATGGATGAGCATGCTCCCTTTACACCTTGCAAATAAATGTAGATAGGAGAAAAGAATAACAGAAAATTATTCTGTAGTCCTCATAAGTCTAGCAATTATTTTAAGAATTGTTCACCATCTTTTTCTTTTCCAGGTTCAGGCAACAGTAGTTGGTTTTCTGGCAGCAGTGGCAGCAGTTATATTGGGCTGGATTCCAGAGGGCAAATACCGCTTTGATCATTCAATCCTTCTGTGTTCTAGCAGCGTAGCAACTGCCTTCATAGCTTCCCTTTTACAAGGTAAAAGGAGTATATATGTCACTTTTTACAGTTATTTAGTTTTCTGTGGATGGTGAATGTATATTATGTTGCTATTCCTTAAAAATTTAAATCCAGTAAGGTATAATACATCTGAAACATAGCTGAGGATAGGCTGGCCTTTTGCAATTTCCTTACAGGCCTGCATATTGCATTCCTCTCCTGTCATATTCTTTGAAAAGGTTTGATTTGCATGACCTCCTGAGCATATCTAAAACAAAAAGTATGGTTTTTAGAGTTTACCTAATATGATGGAGAACTTTTGTCCCCTGCTTTCTATATAAATTAATGTACAAAATACATTCTTAGGGCTAAACAGGTAGAACTTATTTGTAATTAAGGTCAAGTGAGCCCAGATCTTAACTCAGCTGAATCCAAACTCCCTGGTTGTCTATGCAGCTTATATGTTAGTTTGTGCTCTGCTTTGTATCTGAAGTGAACAAATTGGCTTGTTATGTGAAGGATTTGGGCCAAGTTCAAGTCCCCCTCTACAAACAGTGCCAATGTCTGTTTGGAGCCATATGGCATGATGAATTTAATCTTCTCTTCCCAATTATCAGGAAACATTTAACCATAAAAGACGGTACTTAATGGACATGAGGGGGAAAAAAGTACCCCTACTTTCATTCTTAATGAAAATACATAGTCAGTAGTCTTAATAACAGTAAGTCAAGTAAAACGTTTAACTTCCTTTTTTTACTAATTTGATATGCTTACTTATGTGAAAATTACAAAATTGTTAAAGTTTTGCAAGGAATTAAGAGCATACATGTATTTTAGTGACTACAAAGCCATTGAGTTTGATCATGCACAGAATTAGGAGCAGCAAGAGAACTGGGGAATATGAGTGCATTTTTTCCACTTCTCAGGTATAATTTGGACATGAAGAGAAACTTTGTTGTTATCTGGCGATGAGCCAGCATGGGAAATTACTTTCTAAGCTTCATCGTCCTAAAGGTGAAACAGGCGCTTTTGAAATATTGTGATCCTACAGGATCATTTCAGTTCGTTCTTCTGAGAATTTCATGGAATTTAACTCTTTTGGCAGTTTCTCTGAAGGTGAACTCCTAATATAGCCTACAATACATAATATTGCTAAAATACATGAAAATTATACCAATTTTTCAAAAAGTCTTTAAAATAACATAAAAGATAGTATACACAGTTGAAGCTCTTGTGTGTATTATATGATGAGAGGGAAATTACTCAGGTTATGGCAAAGACGACTGTTAATAACAATGTGAATTTTATTTTTAGTAGCCACTTGCATTCTGTGGGGAAATGCCTCTCAAAAAGTTAGTCTTGCTGTTTATAGGGAAAAAAAACCCCCTACGTCCCTAATGTAAAATTTTTTAACTGTGTAGCAAGTAACATTTTTATATGTTGTCTTGTTTTTAATGTATGATATAGCTTCTTGATGTTTGGTGCTAAGTCCATGACTGGAAATCTTGCACAATATCAGATGTCAAAGTATTTAATCTTATGTTGTTTTCAGCCTAATGTGATTTAAATTTCAGTCAGCTAAAGTTAATAGGGTGTAGAAATAATACACGGCGTATTTTTTTTATTCAGGAAATAGCTGATTTACAATTTCAGTAGTGCTAATTCTAATCATAAGCAAAATAGTTCATTGTGCAGAAGGTTCTTGGGGGCTTTTTTTTGTGTGCTTACTGTATTTTTTTTAGTATACAACCTCATTTTTAAAAATGGCTAAAACTTAAAAATACAGACATCAGTCAGGTGGGAAGAAAAATCATCCTGGGACAAAAGCACTGGCTTTGTATTTATCAAGTTTGAAATTGCCACTATCTTGGAGTTTTCTGTGGAGTTACAACAGTAGATATGGTTACTGTACTGTCTTCTTTATTGAATCTAGGTATAATAATGGTTGGAGTTATTGTTGGATCAAAGAAGACGGGTATTAATCCTGACAATGTTGCCACTCCTATAGCAGCAAGTTTTGGAGATCTTATCACTCTTGCTATACTAGCATGGATAAGTCAGGGTCTTTATACTTGCCTTGGTAAGTATGTTTCTTAGTGTATATGTCTCCCTAGGAACCTCTTTGGATCAGGAGCGTGGAGAGAAGGCAGGGAGGGAGAGGTTTAGAAAACCTTTTAGTTTGACTGACTTTTTTTGTCAACATTTATACCGTTGAATGATAAATCTTGGGTTGCAACGTTATGCCATGATCTTTTTTTTCCTTTTTTTTTTTTTTTTTTTTATAAGATGATAGAAGTCACTAACCACAATCTTGGCACAATCTACTAATATCTGAAAGGCTCTCACGGTATCACAGTCAAGCTACATGTGGATTAGAAACTGTAGTTGCTGAATTTACTCTGCTTTCTTGTGGGGGGGAGGGAAGCTGACTTCATCCAAGTTTTCTTGAATGCCCACCCCTAAATCAAATATTTGCTTCCCAGAGACCTTTTGAATTGTTCTCCTCTTGCACTAAGAGGAAGGAGTTGAATTGACTGTCTTGATAAGCTGCTGGGAGAGGAGTTCTGTTTTGAGAATTTTTTTTTGTTAGGGTGTGGTTTTAGACACCATTCAAATATATCTTGAGCTGCAGCTATGCCCAGAAATCAAAATGAAAATAATTTAAGTAATTTGAGTAACAATAGCAAGTTTACAAGTATGTATTCAAAGAAGTGAAGCCTAATTTGTGCTTTGTGATTGCTATGACTTTTAAATGAGTTACGCAAAAACTGTTGTGAGTTTCCTTCTGATTCCTTCCAAGTGCTTTCCAGCTCCCATTGCAGTACCTTCATGTTTCCTCATCTCCCCTACTCCAGTTTCCAATACCAGTTTCCTCAGCTCTTTCCTATCTCTTGTCTCCCTCACAGCGTGACACTTCCATGCCTCCCTCCTGTTCCCTGTGCCTGTGCTTGATTTTACCAGCGTTTCCTTCTGCTTTTCAGTAAACGAAGTAACCACTTCCAGCTTCTCCAAGTAATGGCCCTGCTCTCCTTCCGTTTTCTTTGTTTTGTTTTGTCTTATAAATTTGGTGGCTATATTTCAAACCTAAATCTGCTAAGTTAGCTGTAGCTTTCTTCAGAACAGCAGTTCTGCCATGAAAGATGAAAAAATGTATAACCACTTTGAGTAGCTAAGCAGAAAAGGAGAAGCCTTCTCTGACTACTGACTACAGAGGGCAATGATCTAATCCTACTTCATGCATGAATTCTGTCTGGCTTCTTGATGACAGTTTTTTACTGTTTGCTAATTTTCCCACTAATAGCTATGAACAGGTGAATTACACATAAACAGCTCCAAACTAATTTTCTTATGAATGACTTTTTTTTTCAGTCTGCAATTCTTCTCTTCTACTGGTTATTTGCATGTTTCTATAGTCCCTTTGAAACTGTTTTTCTGATTTCTAGGACCTGTACTGTCTAAATCCTACTCTCTTAAAGGAGAAGTCCACTCAAGAAGGTTCATCATCACAATGTCTGCTAAAAATGAATATGCCTATAATTATTATTATTAGAAGCATGCTCAGTAGCTGATGTAATGAAATGCTTGATTGTCACAAAGGAGATGTGAACTTGGAAAATGAGAATTAGGAACTCAAAAATCAGTCTTTTTCTTCCTGTTTCATCATCTCCCCCATGAAGAAACAAAAAATGTGAAAACATTTTCTCACAGGAGGAGAAGAATGTTCAGAACAATATTTAAAATTATATTATTGCTACAACTGACTCCTTCCATAGAAACTATTTAAAAATTGTGTTTTAAAAGACATAATTGTAGACAATTATAGTATAGTATACCACAGGCCAAATTTTGTGTTGTCCATAATTGTTTTACCAGACATGTTGATATCACCACATATATTCTTTACATCTATGCTCATTGTTCAAGCTTTTTTTATGTAAAAATTTGAGCTGTTCTGTGTAAGTATTACAGCATGAGTCAGAAAAGGTATCTAATAAGACTCAAGCTACCTTGGTGTGACTTGCCATTTTGTTTCTTAGTTTTCAACTGATGATTTTATATTTTCAGTATTTGATTTTTCATATTTAGAAAGTGTTGATGTGATGTCAGCTTAAACGTATTAGTGTGCAATACACCCATTTTTAATATTTTCTGTATTTTTTAAAAAACTTGAATTGTATTGTTTATTTAATATCTCTATTTAAATACTTTATATTATATTCTAATAACTTATTTCTCAAATACTTCCTTTAGATATTTCTTTTAAGGAAGTTTATAGACTCACAGTGAAAAGAAAATTAGTAAAGATTTTTTTAACCTCTCTTCTTTCTTTTCTCCTCTCCTGAGAAGAACAGAGAGGAAGCCTCTATTGTCATGAAATTTGGTTTCTCTAGCTAATGCTAGGACTGGGATAATAATTAGAGTTTAGCTCATTAGAGACTGTTTATCTAGATTTATTGCTATGCCCAAAAGTCTTACTAGGCTGGAACATTGGATTATTCTGCTTAAAATAGATTTCAGGTTCCCAACAATTGATACATTTGATTGGAATTCAGTTCAAAATTAGGGTTTATGCTAGTCAATGAAGTGCCAGGGAAGTTGGTATACCAGCTAGATGGAAAGGAGTTAGCTAGGAGAGAGTTAGCTAGGATTATTGGCATATACTAGCTATCTGGGTAGGTGTGGGGTTGGAAGAGGTTGCCAAATTTGGGTTAACACTGAGATTAGATTCGGGGCTAGGGTTATGATTGAAATTTATTCTAGTCAGGACTTTGTCTGATTTAAAATAATTAATGCTAGACTTCAGGCTTTAAATGTTAACTAGTAAGTATTTAAAATGAAATTTATTAGAAACTTATGCTCTCTAGGTCAAACTTCATTTTGGTTTTTAAAATTTTGCTTTGTAAACTACATTGTAATGAATAGGCCAGTGATTTTTTCATTTGTTTCCTAAATCTTTTCCCTATAAATATTAGTTTCTTATGTATTTGCATTGTAATGTTCTCTATATAATTGCCTAAGTTGAACCCATGTAACTCAAAGACAGTAAATCATTAATACTGAGTCTTACTCTTTTTAAACAGCTTCCTCTACTCCTTTCCATTTTTTTTTAAATTGTGGCTACAGGCAAAACTTACTGACATGTGCTGGTATTTTAATAGTAGCTGGATTTTAATTGTAGCTACATTTGTCATTTGTAAATAAACAACATATTATTTTGTGAATATATCTAGTACTGCTTCCTATGCTTTATATAAATTACAGATAATATGTTTCTTTTTTTTAAAAGAGTAACTAATTACTACTAATATTTCAGTTTCTCCTAAAACATGCTAAAAACCCCATGCTTCTAAAAAAAACAAGCAAAAACCACTGAGCCCGAAAAAGAACATGGGGAAGGAAACTTGGACTTCTTTCTTCCTTTCACACATTTCCAGAAATTTACACCTCTAGTTACAGATGGCCTAATGTATCTCAGAGGAATAAAAAAACAAGTGGAGCCAGTTTGAACCGATCCTTTGCTGCTTTTACAGCTGTCATGGCCATTCACATTTTAGTCAGCCACTGCAGCTGAAAAGCAGATCCCACACATTGTGTAGGGGGAAGGATTAGTGCACTCAAGTACACTTCTGAGAGTTACTCCCAATTTTCTTTCTATATGGTCTTCTGGAAATACTTCTCTTTTGGTGATATATGTAAATATCTAGTTACCGCTAAAATGGCTGCTTCTGCTCCTTGTATTTTTTTTCAATGTCTTTGTATTTCTTTCTCTTAGGAAACAGAGAGTCTTTCTAAAGTGAGAACATACCACAAAGCCCTTGGAAATGTGTGGTTTCCAAGACGCATGTATTTGAACTGTGAAATAGTAACAAGGAATAAAAGTATGGAGTAGCTTCAGCTCAGAAGAGGTATATAAAGTTGTGAATGGCAGGAAAGAGGCATTAGGAAAATGAGTAGGCAACAGGTTAAAAAAAAGTTAAAGAAACTTTTTTACACTATACGTGATTGGGATGCGGAACTTACTGCTGTGATGTGTTAAGAGGACCAAAGTGATTTTAGAAAACTAGTTGGATAAATTAATCAGAGAAGAATCCATTGAGGGATATTGAACAGACAGATGCAGACAGAAGCTTGAGTGATGAAATCCCTGAGGCAAACAGCAGCAGAAGCTGGCAGAGCACACTGAAAAAAGCATCACTCTAAACTTGTCATTTTCTTTTCTTCTTTCCACAAACCTGAACTGGTGACCATAGTCAGACACAGGATACTAGACTAGATGAGACCTTTGGCCTCACCCAGCACAGATGTTCTTATGTTCTTTCTGTCATTTCCCTGCTTTCTCAATGCTAGAATAACAAGCACAATGGGAATGTTATAAAGAAACCCACAGTTTATGGGCTAGTAATGAAGCAGGTGGGATTCACCTCTGAACTGTATTCTGAATTCACTATTTTCCCCTATGATTTATTAGCCTAACTACTCAAATGTACTGAAACAAAAGTGTAAGTTTCTGGCTTCTCTCTGCATGGGAAGAGTTGTTTTCAGATAAGGAGGCTGGAAGGGGAAAATGATTTATGTACAAGCTTTATGCTTGTCTGTAACAGAGCTGTACACCTGTGCTCAGCCTTTGGTTTGATATGATGCTTCATGGCATAGCCAGAAGAGGCAGGGAAAAAGAACTGTAGGCATTTTTACCTAGGCTAGGGCCAAATGAAATGTCTTGTTTGGCCACCATCATATATATAATTTCTGAAAAGTTCATCTGAGTGTTTTAAAAATAATGGCAAAGCCATCAAACATGGGGATTTAAATAGCAAAAGGTTAACAGTTCTTTCTGCCTTAACAATTCCCTTAAAAGAACTGTATCTGTGAATCGTTGTTAAATAGCTGGGGGAAAGCACTAGAGGGCTCCCCAGGACCGTCGCTGGGACCCACCTCTGGTTCCTCGACCAATGCTCTGGAATCGAAAGACCCAGTATATTAAATGTGGAGGTCCATGTTGCTTGTCATTTGTCAGTAATGATCTGAAGACTTCGTTTAAAGCTTTCCTTTTTTCTTACAGATCGTGACTTAAATATATGCATTTCTCTCTCATGCATGTTGGATCTGGATTGAGAAGACAAATTGTGTGATTCACATTATTGTTTTCAGGTTCCTACCAGTTGCTTTGAAGTAGTTTATTTCCAGTTTACCTCTAATTTCTACTAGAGGTTGCATTGTTTTCAGTGGCACTGCACTGAACAGTATGTCACAGTAGCTACCCCGCACAAGGAGTAAAACATTAAGTAAATTAAGTAAAACATTCTCCAAACTAGAAGATTCATTTATATCACTGTTTACTAAAGGGATGAGGGCTTAAAGTAAATGAAGATCAGTAAGGACTCAGTTGAGAACCTTGTCTCTTTCCTCTTCCCTCCTTCCTTTTTTAATTTAAGGTCACAGTCAGAAGTTCATTGAAGAGTTGAGTGCTTTTAGGAGTTGATCTTCCACTGTTGGATGGTACAAACTCTATCACAGAGCCAGGCTGAGCAAGATTCCTTTCACCATGTAAGCTACCTGCTACAAGTCTATCAAAAATGGAGTGAAGTGAGCCCTAAAAGAGGAGTCATTTATTCCCTCTTCCCATTCTCCAGCTATTGTGTAATACATTTTCTTCTTCTGTGAATTAAGTATGAAGAGGAAGATGGCCCACCCTTCCTCAAAAGGTGCCTCTCAAGGTTAATGCCTTTTTAGATTCTTATAGTAAGGTGTTCTACAAGTAGAGTCTCCCATAGCTAAAAAAAAGTCCTGCACTCTGTTCCCAAGAGTTATACTGGAGCTGAGTAGTTTCACTAGTCCTGTAGGTAGCTGGAGCCTATTGTTGCTCACTTGTGACAGATTCTGTGATATGTTTCTAAACTATTAATTACTTCTATAGTTCTGTTTTTAATTAAACTTAATAGACGGGCAGTAGAATTTGAAGTTCTGGTAGGGAGCAGCTGCCTTGCCTTAATTTTTATATCATCATTGCCTTAAAAGGTGAGTGGGGTGAATTTCAGTTGTCTAGTCTAAAACTTGTAAACTGATTAATATGTATACCTGATTTCCACCTTGTTTAGCAGCATGGGCATGGTTGGTGGCCTATTTGTTTGTTTATTTAGTATTCCCTCTAGCACTTTTAGAACAAGGAATCCCAATACAGTGCTAGTATATTATCATAGCAGAAGTTTTTGGTTTTGTTTTTTTTTTTTTAAATATAAGCTCTGGCTGCATCCTGTCCCTGGAGATCCCCCATTCCTGAGAGCCACTCCTGGCTTTTGTCCCTTTCAAGAAGAAACTTGTGACATACGTTGAATTCAACTCGTGGAAGGTTTGATAATCAGCCATGGGTTAGTCATGTTTTCTAAGATTTGTAAAGCTGCCCTTGCTTCTGGCTACTTGCTGACTTCTGAAATGGTCCTGTTGCACTGCAGATATAAATTATATTTATTTTGGTTATAATTCATGAATCATTATACACTAGCAAGACTGTCTTATCTTTTTTTTTTTTCCTTTTTTTTAAACTTCTTACAAAACATTTCTGTGGCAGGATGACGTGTATGTGTATGTTATATTTTACATAATTATTATTTATTTAGAAATTACCTATTAAATAATTCTTGGTTAGTATTCATTGTTCATTTGCCGGACTGATTTCAGTTTTATCTATGTGCTCTTTCCTTTTTTTCAGAAGAAAGGAATTATACGATATATTTTACTTTGCTTATTTTTAGTGTTCTTTGTAATTCTTGCATTACATTCTTGGACTAGCTCTCCAAGCTTGGAGACTGGTGCAGGTAGTTACATACTCTGCCTTTTTTTCATGAACGTGTTCTAACAAGTTAAGTTGTTAGTGGGATTAAAAAAGAAATTATTGTAAAAGGCATACTTTTTTGAACTTTTATTTCCTTTCCTGACTTGGTAGAAATCCTGTAATAAAGAGTACAGTGGGCTAATTGTTGATGTACAAGTGAAAGACTTTCAAAAATTAGTGATTAATTAGGATAATGCTCACCATTGCATCTGTATTTTGCTGTTGAATGTTTTTTTGCAACAGAGGGTCTTTGCTGACCAGCAGACTTTACCTTTTAATAAAATTGGCTACCTCTCAAAAAATGTGGCAAAGACTTGGAAATTTGTGATATTAATAGGATTTCATTGTTTTATGCCCTTTTATATTTTACTAAACATACTACATTAGAATTATTCTCTCATTCTGAGCTTTAAATCAGTTATTGGACATCTGGAACATGCTAATGCCTCACCTTTGAGAGGAACAGACAGAGAGGGAGAAAGAACACATAGCAGGA